ACTTTCAGCTCACCTAAGTCCCTTCTCTGGATTCCTAGTGTGGCACTGTAGGATAGGCCCTCGACCTCAAGGTCGGTTTGAACCGCAAAGTTGGTGGTTCAAATTCACCAGTCCTTCCTCAGAAACCCTACACACAGGGTCACTATGAGTCAAAACTGACTTGACAGAACTTAACAACAACAACAAAGCCCATTCTCCCAAGGAATTTGATTCCTTCATTTCTTGAACCTTTCAGAAGTTCTAAGGCTAAAATTGGATTCAGATTTCTTGGATGTGCTGTAAACTACATCTATTCATCTGCTGTCTAACTTTATAATCCTCCCCCAATCTCATCATCTCTAGGGGTTTATTTTATTAAAAAAAAAAATAATTCTGCTATTGTTTTAATGCAGTTTCAGGAGAGAGCAGATCTTAACTTGTATGTTAAATTCATCATTGTTAGCTAGAATCATCACCAATTCAGTCTTAAACCATCAATGATTTGTTGTGTTAAGTGCTGTTCAGTCACTTCTGACTCATAATGACCCTGTATAGGGTGGGTTTGAACCATCGACATTAGCAGTCCAGTGCTTATCCAAAGAACCACACCAGGACTCCCACTATCAGTGAATGTAGTACGGTATTCAGAATAGAAATAGCAGTTATATTATAGGCTTCAGCAGTCGGATCATAATTGAGGCTCTGTTTTACATTTTGAGTACCATAATTGGCAGTTGATTTTAGGGCATGCTCAGTGAAGACATATGACAATGGTTCAAAATATGAAACTAAAATACATGAGAAATAGCTGAAGCAATTGTTGGTATTTATAAAGAAGGCTTAAAAAATGCTGTGATTAAAGTTTAAATGCAGCTAAATTGATTATGCATGGACTGATTTATGCCTGTCTGTTCGAAGGTTTTGAAGGGGAGAGGATATTATAGCTATCTTTAAATATTTAATTGACCATTTAATTCACAAGGGATTAGACATTAAGGTTGCTTCCAGATGACATCAACAGGATGAAAGAACTGAAGTATATTTGAGGTAAATTTTGGCTTAGTGTACGGAAGAACCTACCATAGATGTTTAAGTACAAGTGTGAACAGTAATCAAATAAATAACAGAAATGTCTGAGGTGGATGGATAAAGATAGTACAAATAGAAAAATACATGCCATGTATAAACTGAGTAGCAGTATTGACAGATATATATTTATCAAGAGAGGTAATATTTTAATATTTGTAATATTTGAATTTTTAGCAATTAATTTAATTAAAGAATGCGATATCATCCATCAAATATTTTTAGAGGCTGAATGTATTCTCTGACACTCCAGTTCATGATCTCTCTGTTGTTAAAATCTAATATTGGATACCATCATTGGAATTGTCCAAGGGATACTTGGCTGGCCAGATATCAAGATATCACTACAAATAAAATTCACTTAATAATGTCACTTCAGAGCCTATGCCCCTAATCTGAATTATTTTAAAAATGTAGTTACCCATGGAACAATTCTGCCCATTAGAAGTCTCTAATCTTCTTTCTTGCTCCTTTAACCTTTTTTGGTCATTTAACATCATTGTGAAAATCACATGTAATTTGTGCTATTTACATGCAGCACTTTATATGCTACTCATTTAACATAATCAAATAGAAATGAGGCAAAATGTAGGTCAAACTGATATTAAGTGTATTTGTTATTTTTAGTAATATTTGTAATCTCTATATTCCAAAGAAGTTGTATTCTTTGAGTTATTTAAAGGAAAAGACTACACACACTTTATAAATTCACACAAATCATAATTTTAAAAGCTAGAATATACATTTGAGGCTATAATATTCCTTTAGTCTAATTTGATGGGCATGAGACCCAGAGAAGTTAAATGAGTTGCTAACTCGTGCCCTGCCTGTCCATAGTACATGATGCAGAAGATCTCATCTAGTTCTTAGGAAGTTTACAATCTCAATGGAAGAGACAAGATACCATACAAATATCTATTAAAAGTAATTTAAAATGTGCAGAATCCAAATTAATGTACTTAGATGAGGGACTTCTTAAAAAAGCTCATGGAGAAAAATCTACTCTGATTAATCATGAAAGCTTAGGAATTCACTTCAAACAAACAAACAAACAAATTCTTAGACACTTGAACTCAGAAGCATCTCCATGTTATGTGACTTGCCCCACTTTTTGCTTGTGATCCTTCCTATCCTTTCTGTCACTCCCACTGTACTGGGAATTACTATTATCAAATGACTAACAGAAAATTCAAAAGAAGAGGGAGTGTTAGGTATGAAGAGCTACTGTTAGGTATCCAAAAATTAGCTTGCAACCAATTAGGCTTTAAAAGGGATGTCCTTTCAGTTTTATATGGAGACATTGAATATTTCGAAATTAATTTTAATAAAATTTCTCCACTTCCTATAATGTAGTGTGGATTCTTTCTATATAATCCTGATTTCATTTCATAAAGAAAATATAGAAAAAACATAAGAAAAGGTCACCTCATCTCTATAAAGTTGAATGCTATTCAGGAGACAATTACAAAAAAATGGAATTGCAAATTAAATAACTCCCTTTTCCTCCTAACATATTAAAGCAAAAATGGCATAAATATCAAAGAAATAAGTCTATCATTTAAAAAGTAACTGTCTCATGACAGGGAAAGTTTAAACATGTATAAAAAAGATAATATGGTGACAGCCTTTCATGAAAAAAAAATATATATATACAAGCTTTGAATTTTTGTATGTTTATAGATGATCACCCAAGAAGATATGTGGAAGGTATTCATTGGAGCAAACTGAAAGGTATGATATGATGGAATAAAGATCACATTTTTCTCTTTGAGGTGATTTATATTTAAATGAGTTCTCCATAATCCTTTAAACTGAAGTGCAAATTGGTTATCAAAGTCCTTTGCTGTAAGGGTTGTTTTACATAATAATGAATTTCACAGAAGTTCCTCAAAGGGAAATAATGATTTAGGCAACATCACAGAATATTTCAGTTACAGCAACACTTTAGATTTAGCACAATAAGATAGCACAGGGCAAACTTTCTAAAATCTAAATTTCTGCATTCAAAAATGTAGACAAAATACTTTTCTTTGTAGAAAATATATTATAATAGAAATTTTTAATAGAGATGATTCCATTTGAGCTATCATTTCTCATCCACATCAAGTTAACAAACTTCAGTGAGAATTTACTATGTGTTAGGAACATGCCTTGAGTTTTTTTAAAAAAATGGGTTTTATCAAAGTTAAATGGAAATGGATAATACAAATGTTCATATTGGCTTGTATTCCTACTATCCTCAGATAGCTAGCATTGTGAGCCACTGTTCTGTGGCTACTTACTGTTACATAACTTGCAGATACTGCTCGAATAATTTCTCAGAAGACTCCTCTGAGGTAGCCATTACTTGTTGTTGTTGTTGTTAAGTGCCGTCGAGTCGGCTCCGACCCATAGCGACCCTGTACAGGGTTTCCGAGGCTGTAAATCTTTACGGGAGGAGAAAGCCTCATCTTTCTCCCGCGGAGTGGCTGGTAGTTTGGAACCGCTGACCTTAAGGTTCGCAGCCCGATTCGTAACCGCTAAAATGGAGACTAAGTAACTGGATATGAAGATTTATGTTGAAGCACATATCTCTCCTACTCCTTCCCTAACTACATCACTGCCTTACATCTGGCATCTTTCATTCTTGAGTCCTAGGAGTCCTGGTGTGGCACTGTTGGATAAGCACTGAGCTGCAAATCATAGGGTCAATGGTTTAAACCCACCAGTTGTTATTTGGAAACCCTTTATAGGGTTGCTATGAGTCAGAACCAATGCAATGGCACTTAACAACAACAACAACATATGGCTTTCTGCCAGAAGGTAAATACCAGTCCCCATCACAGCAAATGGTATCCTGTTTATTGCTCAGAGGCTCCAAATTCCAGCTGGTTCTCACAAGTTAGAAGTTACCTAGGTTGCCCTCCTTTAGTAAAATCCTGTGACTATTCCCTGACTGGAACCCTGAGATTGAGGCTATAAATTGGGAAGGTCATTAGACTCAATCATAAGAACTGGGTTTGAGTCTAAGTTTTCTCACTAGCAAGTTATATGGCCATAGAATAATCTCTTCAACTCCTTGAGCTTTTGTTTTTTCATACGTGAAGTTGGGAGGCTGAATTTATTCACTAGCTTTCAAAATTATATTTTTTAAAGAAGTGAAACTCAGCCGATTAAGTCTTAAATTGAATTGCAATATAGAAAACAGACATACATTGGTCAAAGCATGGGTTAGGCTTGGAAAAGGCACATGTTGACCAACTGGATCATCTCTTACATTCTGCATTCATTCTCACATTCTTCAAAGAAGCCCCTATGGTATCTCAGGCCTCGTAGAACACAATTTCAAACTGTGGACTCACTTATCTCTAAACTTCTCCCAGTTCTTGTATTCTATGATTTGAAAAAAAAAGTATCTGTAGCCACATGGAAAGGTCATTAGAATTTCAATATAATGGAACTAGTGTCAGGACTGATAATTCAAAGGAGAGAAGCTATTAAAGTATGGAATGATATAATCAAATAACTTAGCCAATGGGTGGCCTGGAGCATGCTGTTGGTGTGAAATTTCTGAAGTTTTGCAGATGGGCTTATTAATCCATTAAATATTGTTATAGTTAATGAACTGTGAATATTATTATTATCTGATACCATTATTGCATTCTATCTTCTTAAAGAAACTTGATACTGATATTTAAACTTACTTTCAATCATGATTCAACAATTAATTATTTTCGTTAAAATACTTTTTCTTCTTTTCTTTTTTTAGCATGAACTATAGTTAATGTCCTCTGAAAGGAAAGGAATCATATTCCATTATTGCAACTCCATCATTATTCTACATGTCTGTATTAAACTCAGTCAGTGTGTTACTTGCCCTGCTCTGTCTCTGTGATTGGCAGGGCTTCTCTGGTTTAATTCCAACATGTCTGTGGCCACAGATGATTTTCACTTACCTGCCTCCGCCTTCTGCTGCTTCTCAATCTTTTCCAGGCGCCCTAGCAAGGAGTCAATTTTAGTTTTGATCTGGGTTAATTCTTTCTTGATTGTCTGTAACTCATCTGATTTCACTGGAAGGGGACAAGGAGGGGAAAAAAGCAGCAGAACGTCAAATACACACGATTCACTTAGGGCACAACTCACAGACACACCATGCTCTGTCAAGGCCATGCTAAGTCCCACAGGACACTTTCTCATTTTTTTAGTGCTCCTTTGATTATGGAGGATTTTATCAATTACAGGTAGTGATGTAACTGTGTGATACTAAATCATTTAGACTGAATGTTAGGAAAAAGGATGGAGGAATTTGGAAATATTTTATAAAATAGCTAAAATGATACTAGATTCAGTTTGGAAAACAAAATAAACTGCAATGCAACATGGATTGAGATTGAGAAATGATTAAATCACGGCAGGCATGGTAATCTGACTTTGAGGCAGTATCTTGTAATAGATATTTCAGCAGTCAATGGAATTTTCTATCCTGCTTCTTGGCAATGATTGCATGAAACCAAGGTGTGACATTTGTCCTCTAAGGAAATGTCTTAGATGTCAGAGAACTCTCTTCTATTTACTGAGCACTTGTGATTTAGCCTTTTTTTTTTTTTTTTTTAATGGAAGCATTAGGTTGTGTGCTTGGCTCTCTTTCCTTCCCTGACTGGGGCTTGTGGTAAAGAAAAACCACTGAAGTGCTATTGATATTTTCTAGAGTACTGGTCTTCATCCAAGATTTTTAGTATTTAACATGATTTCCAAAGAAAAATGTTGGGACTAACATAGGACTACCGTTTCACTTTCATTTTCAGGTGAAAGTTTATACAACAGGTGAAATTTCCATTTAACAATTTATACATAAATGATTCCATGACATTAGTTGTTTTTGTTAGGTGCGTCAAGTCAGTTCTGACTCATAGTGACCCTACTATACACAACAGAATGAAACACTGCCCAGTCCTGCACCATCTTTATAGTTGCTGTTACATTTGAGCCCATTGTTGCTATCACTGTGTTCATCCATCTCATTGGGGGTCTTCCTCTTTTTCACTGACCCTTCATTTTACCAAGCGATGATGGTTATAATCTTTTTAATGTGATTATATTATTATATGCATGCTCAATATTTCCACCTCATTCATCCAATTGATTGACCTGTTGTCCCACAAGACTATAGTCTTGAGCCTTCAAACCCATAAATTAATCTCAGGAGGTGTTTGGGTATGTCTAGGAAGTGTCTATAATTGTGCCCCTATGTGTTTTATTTATTATACAAATATATATGCAGCACATACAAACATATATATATATATATATACATGTTGCTATTGCTAAGTGTTGTCGAGTCAGTTCCAACTCATAGAGACCCTGTATAGCTGACCTTGTGGTTCACAGTCCAATGTTTATCCTTAGCGCCATATCAGGAGTCCATGTGTGGGTTCATGCAGTGGACTGCAAAGTTAGTTTGAACCACAAGGTTGGCAGTTCAAGATCACCAGCTGCTCTATGGAATAGGGGGTGGCTATGGGTTGGAATGACTCAATGTCACTTAATAATAACAACAAAGATACCTATATATGTATGCGCATGGACTCCTATACGCCTTTCCACCCCATTTGGCATACATATCACCTATGTAACCATTCATAACTTTTTACTTGTTATTATCATTGTTGCAAAATTATTTAGGATTTACCATTTGTTAAGTGCCGTCGCTACGGTTCTGACTAGATTTACGTTGTTCTTTATTCTTGTGTATCTCTCAGTGTCTTCATTTACCTTCATATTGTGTATTATTTTTCCCACCAGAATTAATATGTAAGTACTGAACTGTAAAGCTGGTTTGAATCACAAAGTCAGCGATTCAAGCTCACCAGCCGCTCCTCAGAAACCCTAGACAAGTTCGCTATGGGTCGGAACTGACTTGACGGCACTTAACAACAACAACAACAACAACAATCTAGTCCCGGGGCAGGTGCTGTCGGATAAGCACTGGTCTGCTAACTGCAAGCCGGCGGTTCCAATTCACCAGTTGCTCCTTGGAAACCCACAGGGTCACTATGAGTCGGAACCCACTCAATGGCATTTACCAATAACAACAACAATTATCTAGTGAGTGATTGATTACCCCTCTTTCCCTCTCCCATTTCTGGTAACCATCAAAGAATGTTGTTTTTTGTGTGTACCAATTCTTGACTTTTTATAAAAGTTGTTGTTAAGTACCGTGGAGTTCGTTTCGACCCATTGCGACCCTGTATAGGGTTTCCAAGGAGCGACTGGCAAGCTTGAACCACCACCTTGTAGTTCAAACGGCTTTACAGTCTGGTGCATTAACACACAGTGCCATACCAGGACTCCACGCAATATATACCCTTCCTGTTTGACCTTATTTCACTCAGCATAATGTCCTCTAGATTCACCCATGATAGACGATGTTTTGTGGATTCTTCATTATTCTTTATATGTAGTATCTCATTTCATGTACATAGCACAGTTGTTTATTCATTTATCCATTTGTGGGCACTTAGGTGGTTTCCATATTTCTTCTATTGTGAATAATGCATACATCTATTGGTGCCACTGCTCTTATATCTCTAGGATATAACTTAGAAATTGCCCTAACTTGATTCTTCAGCTTTCAGGAACCTTTTTAAAAAGAATAAGAACAAAATGCAATCTCAGTTTGAAATAGTATAATTTGTCAATTAAGAGATATAATATAATATATATGATGTATTATGAACTATATACATAATTGCTCTCAATAGAATATATATTTTTACAATATACAAATATTTTTTTCATCATAATATCAAATTAAAAAAATCAGATGTTTATTTATGATAGAAAGCAGATTGCAAAATATAAACTTAAGGGCCCTGTGGAGTTTCTTAGTACCAAACAAAAAGTAGAACATAGTTCTAAAATAGAGAATTAACCCTTTTATAAATTACTTCAAAGACATTGTTGAATCACATCTAAATTTTAAAAACATCTGCAACAGTTGCAAATTGATTCTGTTTTGAAAAAAGACTCTCATTCTCTATGATGGAAGCATGTCATGTAGTTTTAGTTAAACCTATCAAATTTAATAGAATGCATTTTATATTATTGTGACTATCAGTGCAAGAGAAATAGAGTTTTGTTTGAAAACTTATAGAATCTATTTCTTTGCAAGAGGAGTCAATACTTAGATTAAGAATGCAAATGGTGAAATTTTAATTTGTTAATCTCTTAAAAAAACACAAACAAACCAAAATTATCTCACTTGACAGAAACTACATTACAAAACAAGCCCCCACCCCCAAAAGTAGTATCACTCAGCAGGAACTTATATGTGTTCAGGGAACCAAGGTTTCATTCAAGTCTAGGCTGAAATTCAGCACTATAGAAATGCCTTTTAATATGAGCCAGATGACTATAAAATTTGAATTTAGTAAGTTAATACTATTCAAATATAGATAGAACAATGAAGAAATTCAGAGAGATGTTTTCAATTTCTTGACCCCTGACAGCCTTATCCCTATGAAGGTTGCTCAGCGCCTGTCTTGAAGGAGCAAAAGCTCCTCAAAGGTCATGCAAAATAAAGCTTAGAAGTAGTGGCTGCTTCTCAAGCAATTGCATATTCCAAGTCTTGGTTATGGCAGTGCTCCTTAACTGTGACACGTCCTGAGGCTGCCTACCCCATTGTGTGTCTCCTCTGTTGCAATTATTTCTACCTTTCTTCAGTTGGATTTACTATCCATAGTTTTGTGTCTTGTTTCTTAGGATGTACTACTTCTGATGTGCTCACTCTAACTCTTCTCTGCTTTCATTTTCTGTCTTATTTCCTGAAACCCCATTAACTATCTCTCTGATGTATAGCAGTTTACACAGACCCTCATTTTTATTCAGTCCATCATAATAGATGTGTGTTTATAATGACTGGATTTCTACATTTCAATTTTTTGAAATCTTTGCAATGCCTTTGATTTCTGATATTCTTCCCCCAAATAAAAATTGATTCAGAATAAGGTGAATCTATGGTCTGACGCACCCATATGCATTTTCATTGTATTTCTATTTGAGCTTCTGCTTTCCATTTGCCCTCTTCTTTCACAGTGTTCTGAGAATAATATTTCTAAACCATAATGCTTTCCAGTTGGAAGGCATTCAGAATGTCCCCATTTCATATAGGGAAAAAAAACCAAAGACAAACTTATGTGCATTAGAAACTAAGCTCTTTAAATTGGTATTCAGGGTCTTCTTCCAGGTATATTTCTAGCTTCTCAATGTGAACTCGTCACTTGAATAGAACAGTTTAATGTTTTATCAAATAATATTTGGAACCAGGTAGACTCTAGTTCACATCCATGGAGTCCTGGTGTGACACTGTGGGCTAATGTGCTGGATTGCATGCTTGGTTTGAATCACAAGGTCAGTGGTTCAAGCTCACCAGCCACTCCTTGGAAACCCTATATAAGGTGCTATGAGTTGGAATAGACTCAATGGCACTTAACAACAATAACAATATACAAATTATTTTTTTTTTCTGCCTCATCATTTGCTGGTTCTTCAGTGCTTGTTGACCTTTCTTTTGTATATTTCATTTTTCTTATTAAATTGTAAGCTTTTTGAGAGTGAAGATATTATTAGTTATTCAAGAATTGCAGAAGTCATGCTTTAGACACTTTAAATGTGTTCTGATAAGTTTCTTTTCTTCTTATTAACTACTGAGACCTCTGAAGCTTATTATGTGGTCCTGAGCTGGAAGTCTGCCCTCCTTAATTTAAAAATGTAATTAAGAGACTTTAAAAAGAGATGCCAAATCAGATTAGCACTTAATTAAAAGTTTCTGTTTTCACATCATAAATTGCATGCCTGAAAATTTATTCAGATTCCTGATTAATAATAAGATCTCTGATGGTCCAACATCTTTTTCAAAAGGAATTTCAACAGTTGTCTAATGCAATACATATTCATGGATTTACTCAATCATAACTTCCCAGAGGACTCTGGGGTGGTACAAACTGAATATAATTAGCTATTAAACAAAAGGTTGGGGTTTGAGTCCACCCAGAGTTTCACTGGAAGAAAG